GGTTTATTAAGCTGAAAAACTTGCCAAGTTCCCCTTTAAAAAGTAATGATGTGTAAGCAAACAATCACCTACTTACACATCCAGCAAACACTGGTTAACATAAATATTCATTAAGAGTTGTATTTCTAGACACCAGTTGCTAACTGGGTTTCTTAAAAAAACATTTGACAAAAGCAGAAGCCATCTGTTGCTCCTGGAAATGAAGTTGATAAAGAGACTGAAGCATATAGAGAGTTTATAGTAAACTTTTTGCTGTGCCTTTTTAAAACAACAAGCTAAAAGGGGCTAAAAACCTCTGTTAAGGTGCATAATTAGATGTTAGGTCATCACTGCAGGAGACCTCTGACACATTATTTGTAATTATTTGATTCATTGTTAATGTTAAAACCTTAATTAGTGCAGCTTTANNTCATTTGTATTTTTATACAGCGAGTCACATCATCAACCCAGAGGAAGCCATAATTAGCAGGGGGTGTTTGTAATCCCACATACAGCGACAATGCTGGAGTCAGGTCAAATGATTTAACCCTGATAAAAGTCTCCATTTCTTTCTAATGACTATTATTGATTCTAAATTTAAACAAGTAAAACAATGGCTAATCTCAAGCAACATTTTGCCCATTCTTTTGTTATTCCATGAAAGAGAAAACAGTGCTAAAGATGTAACTGGAGTCAAACAGGGTGTAGGTGATAGGTCCAGGGATGCGTAACAAAGGTAAAGCACTGGATGGTCACCCCCCCCCCCCCCAGGGGTGATGTGTCCCTGTCTCACTAATGCTTCAAACTAAATGAAATAAACAGACATGCATGTAGAGAGTTGTTTTTGTTCCAGCCTTATATTCCTAGAATTGCTGTGTCTCTGGTGGAGAGGAGACGCAGTGATAAGGGACTTTAAATGCCAGGAATGTGGGCCATTGTGTTGATCAGCTCTAGAGGATTTATGAACATACCGATGGCGTGGTGTGTTTGCGGGCTGTTTAAACAAGATATTAATCAGTGGTAAAAGGAACAATGAATGGAAAAGGATATGGAGTGTTAACCCCAAACTAGACGAAACCCTTCTGCTCCATCATAACACAGACAGCTCTTTATAAATTTAAACAATGAAAATGTAAGTACCTGAGTGGCACAACAAGTATGTGTCATTTATGCAATCCATTCAATTAGCTTAAAAGCAACAACAAACAGGTTATCAACACCTTTTTATGGACACAAACTGTGTCAAGTGATTTGACCCTTTTTGTCTGACAAGCATGCATATCTTAAGTCACACTGTATATGTTTTTAAATATGTAAAAGTAGATGAATATTAAGAATTTTCTGTTACTTTTTCATATGTATTGTTTAAATTTTTAGTGCTGTTGTGCAGCGTTTTCCTGGAAGACGAGCAATTACCTTGACGCATAAAAAGCACAAAAGGAGTGTTGTGAGGTTTGTACAAGCACACACTTTGATGGCAACTGTAGTTATGTCTGGCAGCATATCTCTTGATCCCACTCTCCTTGCATTAGCATTAATCACATTATAAAAATATCTCATCCACCCTGTCTCCTTCATGCTGAGTGTGTGTCCTGATCTTACAGGGTCTTTCTATTATTCTCGTCCAGGGAGAGGCTCCAGTCATTTCGTGGCCTATAGTTCCTGCTATTGTTCTTTATCTGCTTTATGGGATGCTTGTCCCGACCCCCCATGGCAGGTTACTTTGGATATGACCTTGTCTATGAGGCTGACTGCTGGCAGCCAAACCTCTCCTTGTGTCCCTGTCTCCTTTCCTCTCCCATCCCTTTCCGTTCGCTGCTCCTCTCCATCCATTAGTGCCTGTCCTCGCGCTGTTGGCTGAGGTATTTACATTGTCCGACTTCATGAATCATGTCTTTCTGAAGAATTCTTCCTGTCGGTTCATGCATATGTTGTAATTTGTCACTCATGCCATGCAAAGTTCCTGTAGGGGTTAAGAGCTGAGCACAACCTAGGAATTTGTCAAACAGCCCTTTGAAGTGTGTTGAAAAGTGTATATTTTATGGTAGCTTGTCGGGTTCTATTATTTAGCCAGTACAATAATCAAACAAATGTTGCATTGTTTAGCCAATGTCAAACACTTTTTTTCTATATAGTTTCCAAATAGTTCTTCAGTTCTTGACTGTACCTGTAATTAGCCGTGTCTTGATTTCCCAGGGCATCACACTGAAATTGAATTACTTTTAGTCAAAGATCTGTGGAGATTTTCATATACACCTGAGGCCATGATTGTAAAGTGTGAAGGTTTCCACTCTTTCTTTCATACCTTCCACTTTGGGGTGGCAGTAGCTCAGTGTGTAGGGACTTGGCTTAGAATCCGGAGGGTTGCCGGTTCAAATCCCACA